AAAGGCAAAGAAAAATTTTAGTTGAGAACAATTATCCTGTAGGATTAGTTGTTAACAATTTCAATATATCGAAAAATAGGCTGAAGGAAAACCATTATTTTGGCCAAATCAAGGAAGTATACAACTCTTCGGCCAGGTTCCTAATGCTACCATCTTGCAAGCCTTCAGGAAAGATAGGCTAATTATTAAGGAAATGAGGTATCAAGACAATGTATAAAGAAATAATAACGCTTTCCTCTATCATGCCTTCTCTTAGAGAATCTTCCGGCGCCCTCTGCAGGTCAGGTTGTTATAAGGATTTGTGCTAATATGCTTGTGTTTATGTGAGGGAGACTTGTCGACCCATAAATAAAAGGCTATCAGAACACAGAACCGCCTGTAAAGGTTTATTGATTCAGAAATTGGAAGTAGCTGAGCTTGTTGTCGCTACAGAACACCAGATAGAGTGGTCTAAATCCCAACGTTTTGTCGGATATGGGGACTTCACAGCTAAGCAGAAGATCAGGAGTCGATTTAAATTAACAAAACAAACAGCATCCTGTATAAGAAGAATAAATGTAGAAAACTAATTAAGAACTATTTCTGGCTTCCAAATAGTATTAGAGAGAGATAGAGAAGGAAAGAGAACAGAAAGAGCCACTGAGTAAGAGGAGAAGACTAGACTAAGTTGTAGCCTGTTTTTGAACCGAAAATTGTCAACAAACACACACAAACACACATTCACAAAGCCGTAATAAAGCCTAGGACAACTGGATCGTACTCTAGTTTATTTACGTACACAAGAGTTGTGACCAGATCCGCTCCCTGCCTGCATCAATTTGATCCACTTACATTCATGCAGGACAAGCATACGTCAGCCAACCAAATAATGGAATGTCTCATTAAGATCGCAAAGTGAAGTATAAGAAGTAGGTAGGATCTCAGCTAGCCAACCATTCTCGGTTTAGTGTTTTTGGTGATTTTTCGTGAATAATGATTTCTTGATCTGACGATGTCTGTCACAGGATGGACGAAAGCTGAGCACGGAGTCATCGGGGTCGTATGACGGTGAGCACAGTTCAACAGATAAAAGTCCAAGGCAACCCTCCTGTGCTATCTGGTGCTGCCAATATATGAATACCTTCGACTCGCCTTCTCAAACGAAACGAAAGGTACGCCATTGTCAGTCTATTAAGGGATTCTTCGAAACCCAGCTTCTCTTCATATCTCAAAAATATACTTACTCGAGAGATAAGGTGGCTGGCTGCAATCTTAATCGTTTTTTTATACGCCTAACTTCGCGATCTTAATGAACCATTCTATGATTTGGCTGGCTATTCCAAATTTACTCTACATGCTTGCAAACGAGTGAAGCTACTTCCCGAACCAGATTTGCGTTTGGTGACATCTGTTTCCCTATACAAATAAACTGGTTTATGATCCTCAAATGTTGACTCATGTTTGGGCTTGTGTTCTTGTCTATTGTCTGTATGTAGTGATAGTCCTAACTAGATTCCGGGCTAATCCAGCCTCCTCCCCTTGTCAATTGGCTCTTCCTCCACTCAAGTCTATTCAATAGCCACAGATAGTTCCTACTATTTTCGTTACTGAGTAGGTTTTCGAGACTACTAGTAAATCAGATATATTAGTTGTATTCACTCTAATTTGTTTAAGGTGATGAAAGACTGGTAGTTGATTTCGCCCACAATGATATGAGTAGAGCTGACGTTTCTATTGCATTTCACATAGCCTTGCTTTCCTCAAAGGTGTTCTCATCCAGAGTGGACTTCAGTTTCGACCTCGGACCGTGGACTTTGTCCGATTCTGGAAATTATCTAGCATACTATGGACTCCGGACATGGTGTGTTCATCTAGTTTGCCCTGACATTATGACTAAGTTGCGAAAACAAGGTCAACCAAGCACTATACATCGAGAGGACGCTGCGACAAAACAACATCTTGGTCTTCATATCCATATTTATTCCTTACATGGCAAAACGAAGTCCTTGGATTGGACTTCCTCTTTGGACACAATTAAATATGTTTTTGACAGATTTACTTCTTTCTGTAATAAGCTATCCATCCCTTTAACTTTTGCCGTTGATATCTTCTTCTATTTTACTGATCTTATATTTATACCCCAGTCCTTAAGTTAATTATGTACATGTTAACCTGTTGAAAAACACTGGCATACAACTTATCGACCATAGTGAGGAGCAAATCTTCAAAAAAACAGATATGACTGATTTGCCTGGCTATTAATCTCTTGTTTTGTGTGCGTAATTTTTCGTATCATAAGTAGGTTTTCAGGACTAACAGTAGATATAAATGGTGACTTCCTAAAATAATGGAAGGCCTACTTACTTCGTATTTATGAGGGCATCGTTGTATATCATAGTGTCCGATACTTCAATGAAATATAGCCCTGACTTTGGGTTTAGAGTAGCTGAATTTTTTGTGTGAGTTTACATTCTATCAGTTGTTCATGAATAAGAAATGTATTGACTTTAGGCCACATCAGGTGATCAACGATTGATAGGAGAATTTTCCCAGCATGCTATTTGTTATCCTTAAGATACCATCGGATTTCGCTTAGCCTTCCCGCTTGACGATATTCCCATTCAGGGTTGATTGCCCTTTGGATCTCTCCTTGGTCTCATCAGCACCCTTAACCGAAATCTAATTTGAGTAATGGAGCGAATTTGTAACCACAGTCAATTCCAGATGACTAGATCTGTTGAGAGACAAGGCTAAGTCACAATCATGAGTCTAATTATAATTGGGCGAAAATTCATCCAGCATAATCACGTTTCTTCATCATTTTATATGGCATAGGGTGAATGCGTTTCTTACTTAATTCTTTACTATATTTTCATCCTGGATTGCAGTTTACATTTGCAACTTGTATAGAAAATTGTTCAAAAATGTAATTATGAAGACCAAGTTGATGTGCTCTTCGAAGTATCTTGTCTCTGTATCGACTTGTGTTGATTTTGTTTTGCGAATTATTATCTCTTTCGAGTTTATCCTGCCAATAAGTTTTGCAAACGAGGTCAAACCAAGTGTAGTAATCTTTTACAACTTGTAGTTCGGTCGTTATTTTTTTCTATTTATTTGCCTTATATTCGACAAGCCAAAGTTCGTTTTAAATTTTCCTCTGCACTACTTTCTCATCAAAATTTTTTTGTCATATTTACTAATTTATTCAAATCTACACCAACCTTAACATGTGTCAAGTGCTCTGGCATCTCGAGTTACCATCTCAGGCAGTCGGACTCTATGCTGTCTGGTCGCCACCATCTCCTGTTTCTCTGGATACTTCACGTAAATTGCCTCAGGATCAAGAGTGCCCAATGAGTAACACAAATCAGTGCCTTCCTTCTCCTGTTGCTGATAACCTTGATATGAAAAGTTTAAAAACCAGCGCCACTACTATAAGTGTACCTGGCATTCCGGCGGTGACTAGATCCGCTTCCATCTCAAAACCAGATGCGTTAGCTACCAAAATCTTATCTGCCCAACGGACGACGCCCGGAACAGCATCGAAGGAAAACCAGTCTGGAAGTCACCAGCAGCGGCACATCGACCGGATCAAATCGTCTGAATCATCTGAAGAAAGAAGAAGCCACAGCCGACTTCGCAAGCGGACACGTGCCTTATCCGTGGGCGAGACTATGGATGGTCA